TCTCTCTCTCTCTCTCTCTCTCTCGCTAGCTCATGTGCTTGTTGCGTTTCTTTACTACCATCACATCTATCACTAAAATATTTCAGGTCTTTGACAAGATTGTCCCAAGACTCCCAAGGCATAACATCTTCAATTACTTACAGTTTATGTGAAACAAGCATAAAGTTTGATCAATCTCTTCTATAGAAACAGTGAAGTTTTAGGTAACAGTCCATATTGTTCACATCCCCTATACCAAACTTCATGCTTGCACAGGTAGATCAAATGTTGTGTCATCTGAGAGCTATATCATAGCAAGCTTTCACAGGGAGGAAACAAAAGCAGCATAGCATAGTGGATGATGATGACTAGACAACACAAACATAACATCTGTAACTTTCGTGTTCGTTCAAATGACAGATTCACTGACATCAACTTGGCTGTGTTCTGAAGGTGCCAAGGTTGCAGTTGCATGCAAAACCGAAGGGAGAAGGGAGCTTAGCTGGGCCTATGGATTAACCGATGACTACGGAGAGTTCATTGTAGACCTCCCTTCCCATCTGCACGCAAACCCAAAGCTGGAAGAAGATTGCATTGTTAGGGTTCTTCGCGTGCCGACGAAGGGTTCCTTCTGTGATCTTGTCTCAGGTGTACGCTCCAAACATATAACGTTGTCCTCGGTTGGAGAAAGCATCCGTGTGTATACAGCAGGAACCCTAATCTTGAGTCACAGGACCAGATCTTAATCGATTTCACCATGCATGTACGTACTGTTGCAGGAAATCATTGCCACATTCGGAGATGCAGATTGACCAAAATAATTTCCATTGAGTAGTTGATGGAATCGTCAATCCTTGTGCAGTTCACATGTTTACATGTGTTTCCCAAATGTAATCATGAAATGGAAGATATCATATGCTGAGATATTCGTGCTTAATTACTGTACCCATGTTGGTTAATTTCACGGCAAGAATAAAAATTGGAGATAAATAAGTAAAAAGAAAAAAAAACCAATTTTAGGATTTTAATTAGCGAAGAAAAGAAATTGAAGCGGAATTCTTCAAGAAATTAATAAGATAGCAGCTTAATGAAATTTCTCGTTTTCTATATAATAAAAACATATGAATCTTAATTAAATTATTACTCTTAGATTTAGGATACCCAATTAAAAACAAAATCGGTGATAAAATTGGTCGTATTGTTGGTGAGCAAACTCGGGTCTAGATGACGGGTTCGGGTTTGGTAGCACCGGTGTCGGGGTTCGGATCTAGAAGTTCAGTAGCGGGTCCGGATCTAGTAGGCCATGTGGCGGATTCGGGTTTAGATCGATCCCATTGGTTAAAACCTAAACCAGGTACGATTGGAGAAGCAAATCCGTTCAATCTAGTAAGAGAGACGGAGAGAGGGAGACGGAGCGACATGGCGGCGTCAATGGCGAGATCCGGCCTTCGATCGGCGTCGTTTCTCCTGCGCCGGGGAGCGAAGAGCAACGCCGTCGCCCCAGCCAAGAGGAGCTTCTCCGCCTCCGCCCACGATGACGCCCGTAAAGCTTCCCTTCGTTCGTTGTTCCTTCTCATTCCGATTCGTCCTTGGAATCGATGTTTACTTGTTGCGATCGTTGCAGATGAGACCGCGAAATGGGAGAAGATAACGTATGCCGGGATCGTGACCTGCACGACCCTCGCCATCTATAACCTCTCCAAGGGCCATCCCCACCACGAAGAACCCCCGGTATACTTTACTGATTCTCTGGTAACGATCATGACGACGAAGTCGGAATTGATTTTCATGTTTAATCTTGTATTCCTTGCAGGCTTATCCTTACTTGCACATTCGCAACAAGGAATTCCCCTGGGGTTTGTTTTCCATAACCTGAATTTTTTTGTGTTTTTTGTCGATGTGAATGAATTGGATTGATTTTGTTGAATTATGCAGTAGTTGAATTCTTCTCGTGTCGTAAGGTTGTGTTTTAATTTATTTATTCGATGGAATTATATTGCCGATGATGAGATTGTGACAACATAATCTGTGTAACGGTTGTTGTTAAAGCCCTAATTTGTGTATCAAAGAGATCTGTTGATTCTTGATTTTATATGTTGACCAACTGTTGAGTATCGGTAACCAAATACTCCTTCGGAGTTAGAAATGCATTGGCATCATCTGTTAGTTAAAATGATAAAACCATCTACCTTACCATCTGACAGCTAAATACTTAGTTACTTTAGGTGAATTATGGTGTCCTTCAAGCTGGGTGCTTTTGTAATTTGTTTGGGAAAAAAAAATTAAGTTCTTCTTAGACATTTCTTGGGGATGAAGAACTATGAAAAATCAAGATTCTTTTTTGTGTGTGCCACTGCATTGGTTGTATAACAAGTGGGAGAGATCATGCGTTTGTTACATGAGCCTAAGATATAGATTGATTATTAAGAATATCGGTGGTTGTAATTGTTCAAGGCTATAAATTTCCTCTTGTAAATTAGCACATGTTTATCAGGTAGTGCTTGTGTTTAAATTGCCATGTCGTTTAAGAGACAAGCTATGATATTTTTCTGTACAACAAGAATGCCATAAAATCCCAACTAATTGAGTCAACTATATGGATCTTTTGCCCTACGATATTTTTCTGTCACTTCTTAATTATGCTTGCTTTATAGCATCTAGTCATTGAGCAGTGTTAATTCTGAGAAAAAGGCCCGGTAACTAAGATAATCTTCTGATGCCTGTCTTATAGAATCCTTTCAACCTTCTTTTCTTGAACACATACTTGATTCCTAACACTTTCTCTCAATGTTGTGTATGTTTTAGTAGGCTTTTTGTGGTCGACTGAAATTTTATTTGAAACAAATAACACTTGTCCCTGAGACAACTCAATTTACGCATCCACCGGCCCCGCTGATGGGAGATCTGATACTCCTTTTTAATTTGTAGCAACTTGAGATAATGTCGGGTATGCAATTTGGACTTGGTAGCAACTTAGAATTTTTTTGCAATAGCAGGTCCAGACTCGATAGGCAGGCATCCTTTTGCTTATTCCCTAATCTATCTAGTTGTATATGATGTACATCAGGTACCAGTCTCATTTCTCATAGATTTGATATTATTATGTAATTTTTCACATATCAGCACTATGCTATGCTGCATGCTAAGCATATCGGTTAGAAGTTAGGACCCAGCTCTTTAAACCATTCTAATGTTTTTCTGTGTTTATCTATTCCTCTAATTATTATTTACAAGTGGCACATTTGTTTCTTGTATGTTTTGTATACATGTTACAAGAACTACAAATGTACACAGTACATCTACTCTGTACTTTGCAATTTTGTTCTTATAAACGTTCCTCTTTGGTTTCTTTTCATTCTTATTGACGTCCGTTATATTTTCCAGGTCCTGATAGTCTCTTTGAGAAGAAGCACGCTGATCACTAGACAACCACTTAAATGTCAATCTTCTTGTCTAGTGTTCCATTGTGGAGAATGTCAAGACTCAGATTCACTTTGGAAACTTCTTCTGTTTTTATGTTATCTTCCAATAATGTCTAAACCTCATGAATTTGTGAGATTTTAATTGTCATACTTTTTAAGTTTTCAAGAGAATGATAGTATTTCCCCTCAATTTTCATGAGTTCATTTGGTGGTGGGTGATGGCACATGTTGCGTCTGGCATAGAGCATGTTTCATGATCCAAAGAAATACTAGATCAATCAGAGTGGACATGATTCAAGCAAAGGAAGTGAAGGCATCAAGAGGTGATACTGCTTCTCACAGACCTGAAATGGCAAAGGTTCATTTTTCTATATAAATATGATCGCAACGTTTAGTATCCAAATATTGTCGATGTTGGTAAGACATCTAGTTGAAATTATTTGGAATGTTGTGTTGGGCCACTGTGCATAGATGAACATCATTTCATAATTTTTGTATCAGGAAGCAAATCCAGAGATACAACATTAAGCCACTGTCTTGGATTTGCTCTAATGGCTTCAGGAAGCAAATCCAGAGATAACATGACTGTCACTGGGCACCAGCAATGGCACTGTTAAACGTTCCTCCAACTTCCTTACGTGTTACCTTTTATTGCAGATATTTGTCCACTAAATGTGGACTTCATCCCTCACCTGCAGCAGACACATTTTGGCGACGGTCTTGGAGGAGATGCCAACTTGAATACAGCTGAGGATCAACTGTAAGTGTGTTTCCGTCAAAGGAATTAACCCCAATAATTAGCATGCATGCATCTGTTGTAATAATAACAACTGTTAACATTACCATTAGAAGCATCAAGAATTCACTCGTATATATATTTGCATATTTCCTTAGGGTAATTAAATGGCAAGTGATATGCAACTTGATTTAAATGTGGACATATAATTGTTGTGGAAATGATTTGGCTAATATTTTGTCGCTTATGTTTTACTACTAATCCACCTGAAATAGATTCATTGATAACTCCTGATGGCCTTCTGTAATCAATACAAAACCTTGGATTGGTTGAAATATTTTGCAATAATATTGATTCCTCTTTGTCCACAAAATCATATACGAGTAAAAGAAAAATGATATTAATTGATGCCAAAAGGAAAGCCAAATGATGCTTTTATTAATTGATTCAAGTTGGATCTTATTGAATTACTGGATTGCAAGAATAAAATGCCCATATCTAGCTATAGTTAAAGAAGAAGATTCATCATAATATGTCCGCAAAACTTTCAACATTGGTACAAAAGTAACCTTGTTCCCTTTAATCTTGGTATAATTAGGATTGGAACTACAGAAACAATGTCTGTCTATGTAATTAGAATTTAAATCTCTTTATTGATAATGATTAACACTATCTACGCTGACTCTCCTCATATTTCACGTTGGCAAGTTAATTTTGCTATTTTTTTTTTACTTTTAGCACATTGCTAGCCGAGAGAAAGATTGTCATGAATGGAGAGATTTTTTTTTGGGAAGCGAGCTTATGAATGTTTAGGTATTAAAGATTTTTTTTGGCTTGTTTATTAAATCATTAACGGTTGCCAAGAACATCTATTGTCCTGAACCTGATCTGAAGCACTCACCAATTGGGGCAAAAAATTGATATTATCGAGTTAATATTCTAACTCGTCCATAATCCATTCGACATGGGAGGATTAGGCAAAAAGAAAAGAAAAGAAAAAAAAAAAAAAAAAAGGGTCAAACCATGCAGGTTAGCATGACTGATGTAATAAAAAGATTGTGGCCGTCATCTTTTGAACCCGTCAACGTGTTATCGTAACGTTTATTCAACTTCTGTTGTGTGTTATGATTCCACTCCCACGTGCTTCGAGACAAGTGCAAGCTCTTGAATTGACATATTTTACCCATTTGCACCGGAAGAGTGAAACGTAACCCATGGGGTTGGTTAGAAACACCCCTGAGCTTAATCATTCTTACTTGTTAGGGAGGAGGATTTGTGCTTACCGGATGATCACCTTGTTTTATTCTGCAGTTATCTCGATTCATACTGGACTTTCCTTAATCCTTGACTTAAAAAGAGGAATAAAGATGAGGATGTACCCTAGTAATGAAAGCTATCACAAAGCAGCATAGCCCAACACATAAATAATCCTGCACGAGGCTATTGGCAAGAGATTGCTTATATATCTTTGATTACCGACCAATGCATTGGACCTTGATCACCTGGGGTCACAGAGGACCAATGAATGAGGTATAGCAAGGGAAGCACCAAATAACATAACCTCGAAAAGGAATATCCATAAAGTGAATAGCATTTAGCAGCACCTGAAGATTATTAAGAAACCAACAGTAGTCATGTAATTTTCTGCCTTGTTTTAGTTACTAGCATTTCCAAGACTAAAACAAGTGACCGGATGGTAATGGGAAAGGTAGTTTTCATAACCTTAGCACTATTAAATCACATCGTACTCCGCGCTCTAATAAAATGAGGCCTACATCAGTCCAAGCCTCCTTGAAACTCTCATAGGAAGCCTATCATGCTGAAAATTGATCGTCTATATGAGCAGCTTCTCAATAGCATCCTGCAGTCCCATGAGAGCAACTTAGTGCTGAGGTGCCAAAATAAAGCTAAAAGGGAATGCACGATGGTACAAGGAAAAGGTAAGATTCATGCACAAGCTAAGGGGAAAACAAGAAATAAGGGGGGTCACTGAAAACAGGCTAAAAAGTTGGTGAGAAAGTTCACCTTGAGTTGCTGTATTTGGGATTTCAACTGGCTACCTTCGTTGCTAGTCACAGAACAAGCAATCACAGGCCTTGTAACTCCACAAGCCCGACCAAGTGCTTGTTTGGAAGGAACAAAGACGTATGGCACATTCTGGCATCAGGGAAAAGTGAAAATTAAATTTATGGATAGCAGTATTTGCAGGTGACACTTCAAAATTTAGATATAGCAGAATAATTTACTGAGGGCCTTGGCCTAATGAAAATTTTCATTCAACATGTAATCGACACATTGAAATTGCAAAATCTTATGTGTTCTATGTTGATACTAAAGAAAGACAACCACCACAAAATTTTAATAAAAAATAATATTTACAACATAGAATTTTGTAGGATATTACTGCTATTAACCCAGAGAAAACCTGTTCCACCACGACTTGCTAAGCGGTTAGAAGCAATGATTAGGAAACAGTAGTTCCACTATATGATCCTAATATGCACTTAGAACCGGCAACAAGTGCCACAAAGGTGAGTATCTTCTAAATGCAGTGCCTTGAGGACAAAGAGAATTTAATCCATGTCAAACAGTTAATATAATTTTTCATGCATTTATGAGATGATATCGAACCTAGAATTCTTACCCAGGAATATTTTTGTGCCAAAGGATAAGAGTGCAGTTGGACAAATACATTAACAAGGTAGACCATTCACAAAGCAGTGTACGACTGTTCTTCCACATTTACAAGCCGAAATGCTATAAGTAAAGGAAATTTGGATTTGAGACAAAAGCTTGGATTTTGAAAACTTTTTAAACTTAAATAGAATGAGTAAACATAGCACCCTTCCTGAGTTGGTGATGATGATGATGGAAGCAACAAGTGCTGCAACTGGAACCCTTGGGGTTGAAATATGATGTCATTATATTCCACTACCTAGATAATTTTTGAAAAAATGAACGTCATGAACTCGTGCAAATAAACATTTCCCCAATTCATCTGTCCAGGAATGAAAAAGATTTAATCCAAATACATTATCAAAGTTCATTTACCCTCAAAATCCTGAGACTTCAATAAAGGTATTCAACCTATATATAGTGAATTGTCCAGTTGTTTTATTGTCTACCTACCACATGATTAATATAAAGAGTACTGGCTGTAGCAACATCTGATGAGAAAAAAAAAATCTCAACATGGTTTTTAAAACCCTAATGTTGGTATCATAACATTAATTTTTAAATGTTCCATCATCCCATATGAGCTCATTAGTTCTAACCAAAGCATTGCGCGAGACTTTCTTGAACCCAGATTCTTAATCATGCGCTTCAAAAGTTGTTCAGGCATCTAACTTTTGAATAAATTCCACATTAAAACAATCAAAAAGGTTCCAAACATACATCTGGAACCGACGTTAGGATTAATACACATGCTAATGCATCATATTAATTCAACAAACTCTATTCTGCTACACTGAACACCTAACACCTGCTCATCAACTCAATTTAGTTTCTAGTTACCACCAAGCTCTGAAGAGAAACCATACCTTGTCCTCAGCAAGCAATGGGAGATGAAGGAGGATCTCGAGCGGCTCCGTGTCTGCCGCCATCACCACGAACTCCGATATTCCTCGGTTCAGAGTCTTGGTAGCTAAAACAAGATGTTTTTCAAGAAAAAGTAACCGCTGTCAGTCATCCAAGGCACCACGAAGCAGATGCAATCACATGGATCAACATCCCAACAAAAGACAAAGGAGAAATCGGAAAACGTCCGATTTTGAAGGCGAAAAGCAACGACTACTACTAGCACAAAAGAGGGAGAGAAAAGAAGAAGATGATAATGACGAAAGAGGAAACCTTCATTCGCGCCTTTCTTGAGCTGCTTGTAGTTGGCGGCCTGCTGGATGAGGTCGAGGATGGTGATGGTCAACTGGGCGTCAGCCAGGGGATACGCCTTAGGGTTCACCGCCTCCGTGCTCTGACTCAAGCAGACAGAAGCGATTCAGCCACGAAACAAACAGAGATGCAACAACACAAAAGATTGGAGAAGGAGTTCCGCCTACCATGGCTGCTTCCTCCGCCGGTCGATCGATCGAACAGGAGGACAAAAGCGAGTGGCAGCGCTGTCCCGTCAAACCGCTTTGCTTTATTGTTTGCCCTAATGGCTCCTGCAGCGAGGAACTTAAAAGGGACGTCTATTGGGCTTAATTTGGGAATAACTCGTTAAGGGCCCAATAACTAAAAAACTATATAGTTATGATAACACAAATAGTTAAATCGGGTTATTATTATTATTATTATTATTATTATTATTATTATTATTATTATTATTATTATTATTATTATTATTATTATTTTACCTCAATTGGATTCGGGTACAAGTTTGAATTAAAAAAAAATGGTGCAGAGCCCATTAGAGGATCACTAGTTCAAGTCGGATCTTTAACGGATCGCAGAACCGCGTTCACATCCCCTTCTCGTAACCCGGCAAAGAATGAAGTCGGGTCTTTGTTCATATTCTCATATCCCCTTCTCAAAACTGGACCCGGATCCAGATTTTAACGGGTCATCATAAATCCGACCCGTGTTTATATCCTCTTCCCTGAATCAAATAAATAAATAAATAAAATAAATATGAAACGAACGTCTGCATCGGATCACACCCGTCTCAACTGCTATACGTAGGTCCCACGCGAAATCCTTACACAAGTATAATAACAGTGAAGGTCTTAAATTGGGTAACAGTTAAGAGTGGAAGTGTCTTTCTCAATCCAGAACCCTCCTCTCGCTGTGCCTTGTTCCTCAAGACCACAAACAAGCCGAGCTTTCTTCAATAAGAATCAAATCACGTTACAGCGATCTCATCTTCGTCGCCTCCTCATCACCTGCTCGCTCTCCACAGGTGTATGCGGGCATCTGATCTCTACTTTTTCGGTTTTTCTTGCGCATATAACATGTTTCTTGATCCGTCATTGGTGTTATCTGTTTGAGAATGCCTGCAGAAAATGCGTGTTTATGGGGAAGAAAGAACGATTAGGACGGTCTTACCCTTGTTTCATTGATTGGTTTCTTCAGATTTATGATTTCGACTGTTAATGCCTGCAGAAAGTTGAGCTTTAGTTGTGTAAAGGAAAATGCCCTAATTTTAGCCTTACCTGAGAGCTAAACGATACGAAGTTTGTTTACGATTCATGTATGTGCATACCTTGCGTTCGTACTTCCTCGAGACTAGTGATAGTGGAGGGGCTCTGGAGTTGGGTTCTTTGATGTTAGATACAGCAATGGCAAAACTGCTACAAGATTTTGGGGTGTTCCTTGGACTTGCAAGATGTTGGATTAGCTGATCATCCTTCGATCAACTTGGAACTTGTTTTAGTTATTGAGAATGTTACGGGAACAAATAATTTTTTTAGAAGGTTATCATTTCACAAGAAGTGATACTATTGGAGTAAGAGACTGGTATTAGTGTTCTTTGCTCGTTTTCTGATGGAATTTAGTGCATCCGACTGTCAGAAGAGCTAAAATCTATAGCATCCTTTGCCTTGATCTTAAAGCTGTTGTGGTTATACATGCTCCACCGCTTATTTTCTCTTAGCAGTGGAGTATATCTGTTCATTTGCATGAGCTAGGATGTGTGCGTAATTGTCTGGTGCGGGTTATTTCGTTCCAAGAAGGTTTTATGTGTTGTGATTTTCATATAATCCCTTTGATTCTACATGAAAAATACTGGTGGTAAACTCACTTTGCCTTTTATTTCTATTTCTTTTCTTGGATGATGTTGTTTTTCTAATTCCTTCGATGTCAATTGCAAATTCTCAAGCTTGACATATGTTCATTATGAAAGTACATTATCCTTGTTTGAGGCCTATCCATTTGTTATGATCCGGACTTGGATATCTGGTCATCAATAGATAAAGGATAGCAAACTTAAAGAGAACTCATGGAGCAAACTTTGGTTGAATCATTTGTAGTTATCATAGGACAGCATTCATAACAATGGAGAAATGATGGATCATTTTAGCCGGTTGCTGAATTTATTTCTAAAATACTAGGTTCAGGGTAAAGAGAAAAAGCATTTTTAAGCTTTAATGAAACCAAAATTCTAAACTATCAGGATTCAATGATTCACCAAAGAGAGCATTTTATTTTGACCATTTAACTCACACATTCTCACTAAAGTTACCTTATGATTTAGATGTCTGCTTGCTTATATTTTAGGTTAAGTTTTTATCTTACTCTTCTTATGATGGCATCATGTTTAGATTGCATATGTCAAGGTAATAAGACATTAAAATTAATCATAGAGCCTTTTGACTTGGACACTAAGGCTAAATCCAAACTAGAGGGACAAAAATTGCTTAGACAATTTATCATGTGTGATGCAGTGAATCATCTTATGATTCTTAGAATCATCTATTCAACTTATCATGTGTGAGGTTGCACTTGTGGCTTGTGAACATGACACAATGAACTTCAGATTTGTGACGAGCTGTAATCAATCATTCAATAGTTGGTATCAGAATGTAGAAGACACATGAAATAGAGATCGAATAGCCAAGTGAAAATTTATTAAAAATACAAGAAAGATATTGGTAAAAGTGACATGATGCAAAATACTGGATTGAGTAAAAAAAGGATAGACATTTCAGCGAAGGTGATGGTAATTATTTGCAAGTAAATGCTCGATCTAACTTGTTCCAATTAGAGAGCTTGAGGAATCACCTATAGTGTATTATTCAGAATATTTATGCCATTCTGAACTCTTCTTGAACATCTTAATTGAGGGTAGTTTAGACTTTAATATCACAAATAAATGTAATAATCGATCAACGGTTACTTGTTATTCATGTTGTTGGTTAGTCCGAGAAACTTAGCTTTGTACCTATTGTCTCTTCAAATGACAACAGGTTCTCACTTTTTGGCAGAAAACACAGTTCTCACTTTTTGTATGCTGCAGAGGATCTGCAAGTTCATAGTTTTGTATTTGCTCAGTAAGTTAATGTAGTTTCCTTTTCCTTTCAAAAAAAAGAAAAACGAAAACAGGTTAGCTGCCTAGGTTTAAAAAATACAAACTAAACTAAGATTAAATGAGACTATGCAAACTTGGAGAAACCTAACTGTACTCTAAACCAAAAATATTGCAAACGTGAACTAGTTTTGTATTTATTTGTGTGATGTACCTTATTTCACTCACAACAGATGATGAAAGGGATGAAGAAACATGATCAATATTATGGGAATTTCAGGCAGCCCATGCTTTGTTCTATGGAACATGTATAAACCAAAACTACTATATTTGCAGCTTTTGTTGAACAACTTTGCAGAGTAAGCCAGGCTGCATATGTATTTATGGTTTATGTATTCCGAAATTCTAATAGAAATGTATGTCTCTAAGCCATGTCAAAATTCTTAAATTGGCTGTTAAACTGTGGGTCTTCAATGCCTTGTTCATCTACGATGTCTCTTCATTAATGGTTGTGGTAACGTGTTCTCTTTTTCTCGATGGAGCAAGAGATAGACTAGCTTCACTTCTTATGTATTTCCTGTAAACCCACTGCGGAACTGACCAAAGAGAATATCATAACTCGAAGAAGTCTGAGCATGTTATCCAAGTCTTGTTGTAACTCTTGCATATTTTGTTGTTTAGCCTTATGATACGTTCTACATTAGAAATGACGAATGATAATTCTGCATGAATATTAAGAGATATTACATTTTGTATTTTCTGCTTTATCTTGTATAATATGTATATTATAGTAACCCATCTACTGTGCAGAGGAATTTTTCACTAGATCCTTAATCTCAAGATGGAAGCACAAAAAAGTAAATCCAAAGAGTCACCATCAGTTGATCCAGCCATGGCCTCATGTCGAAAGAAGAAATCAGATGATGCCAGTTTCATGGAGGATCTGAGAGACCACATTGATGAATTCATTCATGCTTCGATGGATGAGCATAAGAGTTGCTTCAAGAAGACTATTCAGAAGGTCAGCAGAAAGACCACGCACACATGCTTCACGTCCACCTATTGGAATATGAATTTGTCCATAACCTCTTTACTTGCATCTTCAGATGTTTGGAATGTCTAAGGTGGTTGCGCAGAGGGCTTCGGAAACTAAAGAAGTCGAAAGTTCTTTGCCACTTCAGACAACTGTGGCCCAGGAGGGTATGTGAGACCATGTTTCTGCTGTTTCCTGCACAATTTATAAGCTAGTCATATGCTACAGGGTATGTTGGTATGAATAAGCAGTTGACATTTTTGTTTTGCTTTGCTTTGCTTATGTTGCTTATAGTACCTGATTGCACTCTCAAACATGTTTAGGTGATATATGTAATCTTCATGTTTTCGACATTTCTGCCGTCGTTGTTGCTATTGGTCCTTTGCCCAATGTGGGTCGGTTTCGTCATCTCAACAAAATGTTATTCTTTTCCTCGTTGGATTCGAAACTTGTTTCTTTGGGGGGAACAAAAGCAAACATAAAAGGGGGGAAGTGATGCAAAGAGAAATGAAATGGTAGAAGCGGAGGACAGTGTCACAACGGAATGAAGCTAGTAGTTTAGTTACTGGTCATGTTATTTTCTGGATTCATATATATTATCAAGAGAAGACATATCAGGGTTGACATTACAAATTATGGTTCAAAGTGGTCTATTAAAAGATGAGGGACTTCCTTTGAATCTATCTCCCTCACTTCAACTTATTTTTGCAAGTACTTTGCATCACTTCGTGTCATGGGAAATCCACCCACCAACCATCACACACAACTCCACGATACAATGGGTGTCATGACTCATTTTTATATTCCAACACGAAAGCTCTTCTGAAACATCGCAAAAACCATTAACTAAAGGACCACCACTAGAGGAGGAGGAGGAGGAGGAGGATAAGGTAAGCAGCCTCTAGTGCTCTTCCTACTGCTTCACTTGCGTCTCCTTCTTCCCCTTTCCTCCGTCCTCTTCCTGTATTTTTTGGTCCAGTGTTCGAACCAAATCCCTCAGACACTGGCTTGCCTTGTCCTCGTCGCGTAGATTCTTGGGCATCAGCGACTCCGCAACCTCCGCCGGTGAGATGTTCACCTTCTCCAGCAGGTCCTTCACCTTCTCGAACAACGGGTGCTCCTCCACTTCCAAGTAATTCTTAGCAAGAACCTTGAACGCCTCGAAACCGCAGTAGCCAAGTTCGATGTGTACGTCCATCCTCCCCCTTCTTATCAAAGCTGGGTCGAGTTCCTCCACGTGGTTCGTCGTGAACACGATAAGACGCTCGCCTCCGCATGCAGACCACAGACCGTCGATGGAATTCAACAGCCCCGAGAGCGTCACTTTGCTCGTCCCCTCAACCTTCTTTTGACCGTCGATAAAATTCAACGGCCCCGACAACGTCGCTTTGCTCTTCCCCTCATCACCCTTCTCCTCGTCGACGCTCTCTTTGTTTCCCTGGTTGCTCTTTTTTGCTTCTCGGGAGCCAGAGAGATGGAGGGAACAGTCGATGTCCTCGATCACGATGATGGACTTGCTGCCAGTGTTCACGATGAGGTGGCGGAGCTCAGTGTTGTCCTTGACGGCGGTGAGGTCGATGTCGTAGACATCGTAGTTGAGGAAGTTGGCCATGCATCCGATCATGGTGGACTTGCCGGTGCCCGGTGGACCATAGAGAAGGTAGCCGCGCTTCCATGCCTTGCCGATCTTGGCATAGTAGTCTTGGCTCTTGCTGAAGGTCTCCAGGTCGTCGATGATCTCTTGCTTCTTCTTAGGCTCCATAGCCAGCATTGCAAAACTCGCCGGGTGCTCCAACATCGCCTGCGTCGATGCTACTTGGTGATCTACATAATTCTTGACATGATTTATATTACCGGAGATGGATTAGTACGTGCACCTGTTCCCACAGCTCATCTCTGCGCGCGGAGTTGGTGAAGATCATCCGTTCTCGGTTCTTTGCCACCGCCTCGTGGCTCGTCCTCATGACATGAGAAAGGTATTGCTTCCCCACCTGTCGCCATTGTCGGGCACCGAGCGTGAGCTTATACAACTTCTTCTGCGTGGTCCCTGCATCTCCTCTCCTGATTTGCTGGCGATGGTAACTCCACTTGACCTTGATCGCCTTACCTTTTCCCTTGTTACCCTCATCCGGCACGAACGCATCGGTTATCGTCTCATCAGTGTCCATGGTGAACATGAGACGGCGGCCGGTGGGGTCGGTGGCGGACTTCAACCGGAGGACATGGTGTTGAGATAGGTCTCCACGCTGAAGTAGAAGCCGTTGGTGGTGAATGTCTCCCGGCCTTCCCTGGGGATGATGATATGCACCTCGTTGAACCACCACAGCATGAAGAGTCGGTACAAATTGTAGAACATGGCCGGCAGCTGGTTCACCGTGCCGATCACGTTAAACATGATCATGGCGTATAGCGTCGACATGGTCGCACCGCTCATGCTGCCGGCGGAGCTCTGTACGCTGGTCGTCTGGTTAGAGCTCAAAGAACGATGGCCGGCCTAAGGCAAACGTGAAGAGGAGGAGACACTGCTGCTATTCGAAGCCACAGAGCTACGAGGTTTAGAAGAAATAAAAAGGCTCGGTGAGATTGTTCACTTATATATTTTTGTTTCCAGCTATTTAGGATCCACTAAATAAATCTTTTACCGAATTAAAAAATATATATATATATGTAAATAATCCTTTGTAATAATAAGAAAGTAATATTTGTGGTATTAATTCTTTATATGATTTCTCATGGTAAGATTTGATTTGAAATAATATATTCTTATAAAATCATACTATGATTGGAGACACCATTATAGAGACTTTATAAATATATCGACCAATTAATTACAAAATATGAGGTGCCTACTTTAAGTGGGCCCCACTTGATACCTTTGTTCTAAACAAAAATGATAGGCAATAGCTATATGTTCCACACGCAGTACCAATATATTATCGAAATATATTGTGCTTTAGTTTTTTTTATTTTTAGAGTATAGAAAAATAGGATTAGATACATATGTACATAGATACATACATAATATATGATATGGTTAGATTAAAATCATTTTAATTTGGAAGGAATGTAAAAATTAAAAGGTTAGCCATGATGGATATATCACAAATATATACTTCGTAATGTAATATCATAGTAGTCGTTTGTAATATAACTCATCCTACCTCTATAGGATTATATATAAATCGAACAAATTTATTAATAGAATATGAAATATTTTGTCATGTAATGAATAGATTGTGTAATGCATATACTAACAAAAGACCGATCCCTCATAGTGATATTAAAGTGGATATGAGTTTGTCTAATTTAACAAATCTTTTACGTATTTGTATTAGTGTTTGAGTGAGAATCACCTTGTGTGATAAAAATCTTTTCAACTCCAAAGAAATAATAAGATGTTTTATAGATAAATTGTAAGATGGGATCGATAAGGAGTGTGTGGCCAATGAGATCACTAACATATAAAAGAGAATAAAAAAATGATGTGACCCTCGCGATGATAAATGAATTATTTGAGTTCGTTATGCTATGTTTCATATACTTGCTAGAGAAGGACTTAAGAGTGAAGGTAGGTAGATGAAATACCAAACAATTATAGAAAGGTTTTGTGTCTCTCTCTTTATGGCTTATGTGTTTTTGTTTTGAATTAATTTACAAAACTTTTTAAATTTATATTTTATTTATTTCCCTTGTCGATGCTATCATCAAGATAAGCTTCTCTTAATTAGGTTAATATAAAAGGAAAAATAATGATTTTTTAAGCAAACTCTATTATACATCTTTCTATATTCAATAGGATGAATTGGCATTTATCACAAAACTAAAATAAAATTTTATATTGTTTCATATGTTTTTTGTCATTTGTGAAATATTATTGAGCTTGGATGTTAAAATTAATTAACCTCATGCATGAATCGTACGATCTTGAAAAATAAATGTTCTCATTGAATGCTTTTGTTTGGTTCATTAAAAAAAAAAAAATCACCAAACTTAATAAAATAGCTCCTTTTTCACGACTCATGTGACATACATTTATACATTAGAACAATAATAGACTAGAGGAGTTTGAGAACATTTAAAAATGAAGTCAACTGGATCCACTGACGATAAGTACACTTAGTTTACAAATATTATTAGTGGATTAAATTTGTCTCTAATTTTGATTTGATAATATCAATTATGGAGGTAACAATAATTTAACAAACCATAATCTTCCATAGGAAGGATTCATATTTATTAACCTATGAGATGACATATAAAGATACATAATAAAGCCAACAAAATCCACCTAATAAAAGAAGTTGCTCACCTCGGACAAAATAAGTGACTTAGAATTAGAAGAACAATTCGTTGTCAATCATGCCCTTATCATTTTGGATGGTGACATAATTAACACTTTTGAGACTATGTTAAGTTACTTGAAAATTTTAAAAAATTATATGATGAAATAAAAAAATTGATAAAAAAAATATAGTTCAGTAAAATCATATTATTTTTTAATAAAAGAATTTAGGTATCTTAAGAGTAGAATGTGATAAGTGTAGATGGTGATGATTTAAGTCATTGCTTGTTCAATGATTATGAAGAATTAAGACCATCTTATCTTGAACATAAAAGAACTACATCAAAAGCCATTGTAATAACATACCCTAGAAAATAGCAAAAAAGAATCTACATGAGATGAACAAGAAAAATATGAAGATTCAATTGACAATGATGGGTTAATAAGCTCACTTCAAAAGCAAAATGACCTCTTGTTCTAAACCTTGGGAAAGCTTGAAATAGGAAATATAAGCTCACTTCAGAAGCAAAATGAACTCTCGTTATAAACCTTGGAAAATCTTGAAATCAGAAATATGACATTTATTTATAAAAAAAAAGAAAGTGGTTTTACATCAAATAACTTTTACTATGGGACTAAAGGATCAACTCTACATGCAAATATATCTTCAAACATGTGTAATTTTTTGTGGTCAAAATGGGAACTATGTTCACTCTTACAATTCAAGGGGAAAAAAAAAGTTCTATCTTCACATAAAATATTAGTTTGGGTTCTAAAAGAGACCATATGTCATTTAAAAGCTTACTAGCTTAAGGGGGAAGAAATAAAATTCTAATCTTAAAGGATTCAAAATTAATAGGTACCAAAAAAACTAGATTTTCTTCCTTGTAGGTATGCCTTTAAATAAAAGCTAGGAGCCTGGTGCTCAAGATAGATGATAAAAAATTTTATATATTTTTTAAATTCACTAGGGATATGTCATTTTTTATTGCAATAATAAAGAAAAATTCATTGATATTAGAAACAAATTCAATCTTATTATTATAGCAAGAAAATAATGCATACTTTTGGTTTAATCTCTCATTGCATAGAAATAATAATAATAATAATAATAATAATAATAATAATAATAATAATAATAATAATAATAATAATAATAAGGAAAAATTATGAGTTAATGTCATGATACCAAGTTTAAAAAGTCATAATAATTTCTTACAATATCATCATATCAAGTTAACTTTCATACATGTATTTAATTTATTATGTTTGATAGTAAAGAGGGAGAAGTTATGACTTGATGTTATCAAGATTTTATTCTAAGATATAATGTTTCATTGGGTACTATATACTTATGGCATCAAGTTGTGTGCCTTATTCAATATGATAAAATACTCATGATGTCAAAGTGAATTATTCGTTTCAAAAATTGATACTCTGACCTCAAAATTACATCTTTATATTTGAAATGTATTTCAATGAAATGAATGACACTACCATGCATTTTTCAATCTTCTAAAAAATCTTTATAATATTATATCATATAAATTAGAAGTGTTTTCTAAAATTCCTTCATCAATCGATTGTGATCATCAAGAAAATAGAAGGTGAAGATAGTTGACTCCAATAACTCAATCGATGAGATGAGAAGAATACATTGCATATCTTTGATGCTACTCTAAAAGTTTTTTTCTAATTTACAAATGCATTATTGTCAAATTCAAAAATTGTAATAAGTAAATAAGAGAGTCTCTATCATCAAGGTTATCTTTTAAGGAATCCTATCATAGACTTCCTTTCTATTGATCGATAATCATAATCAGAATTCAATCATGTCGATAATATATCTTACTTAATTAGATAATAATATAATCTAAATATTCTTCTACTTAGCTCATTATTTAGTAAAATATAAAAAAGTTAAAATTAAAATAAATAAAATAAAATTTTATTTAAAAATAATTTTATCTAACTAGATTCTAAAAATTTAAAAAAATATTTTCTACATACGGATAAATTTTATAAAATAAGCCGATAAATTTAATAAATATAATACTATATTAACTCTGACTATCAATATGAATCATAACGGTTATATATGTCATGAATGTTATACTTCCTTCTATATACCACAATACTAATAAACCCTCATATTATAATCCAAAATGACTTCTGTAATTTATTTGTTAAAACAATCATATTATTCACATTCAACTATAATATTTACATATGTAAATGTGGACAGTAAAAATAAATAACTTTAATAATAATATCAATTATAATATCTACTCAAATATATATCATCATATTATTAATTATAAGAATATATTCTTTCAAGTATTTTAGATTATAAGTCCTAAGTAAATGGATCAAAATTTTAATTAATAATAATTATTTTTAAGCTCTTTTTCTGACCATCAAATACTTTATATCATAAATTAATTATTTTTGGAGCCTTTTTAATATAGAAAATGAGCTCTCCCCAAAAGATATGTACTAATATAATTTTTATTTTAATTTATTTTTATTTTATTTTTGCACATAAAGATATAAATATAATATTTATAATTCTTATGGTTTATATACAAAAATAAAATATGAAATATTTACTTTCTAAAAATCACATCACTTATTAGAAAATGAATCAATTAATAATTTAATTAATTGATTAAATTATAACTTAATAACATGATTAAAAAATTAATTTTAATTATTTCCTTAATCATACTACATAAATAAGGAAGTAATAATTTAAATAAAATAATGTATTATTTATAGTAATTAATTTTTATTAAGGTAAAAAATTATTGGTGATTATATAGGAAACATTGAATGATCCGTACATGTTAGCATATATAATCTCAAAGAGTTTATGAAACTATATTT